TCAAAGTAGATAAAGTAGATATTTTACGTGAGGAGTTCAATGTGTGGTGCCTATAGTCTGAAACAACCCACATGACATTTTTACAGTTTCTTGCACCATTAATTGCCAAAAGTTGAAATCTGCAATCAAGCCTGCGGAGAAGGACAGCTGTCAATTTGCAGTAAAAGTCAGCCCATCATTTGCCCCATGAATGAACTTAATTGAAGCAGCACAAGAAGGCTTCAAGGCAAACAGAGATTTAAAAAAAAAAAAAGAAAACGGCACATAGTATTCAGTATTGTTTCCCATCCTGTGTCAATACTTACAGTACAAAATCGACTATATGCAAATAGAATGCAAGATGGCAGTGTGGTGTTTAAGACTCTGAGGTCATTAAATTACTTACAGTCCTTTCCACAAGCATTCATACCCCCTGAACTTTTCTTGTCATCATGCAACACAGATTCAAATGATTTAATTTGGTTTGGAAGTCCATCATTTTGCAGCGGGTGTAAACACTACATGCTTTTCAAATTGATTAACAAGAAAAAATATGACAAGCTACAGGTTTGTTGCTTTGAACCTACCAAATTTAGAGCAAGTGCAACTAATTGCTGTCAGGTTAGTACATGTGCATCCAACATAAGTCACATCTTTTGGACTGATCTCGTTTGTTAAACAGTAAAAAGTTCAAATAATAATGATAATAGACTTTATTTGGCATGGACATCACAGATACATTGGACGAACCAGATCAATCAATCAATCAATCAATCACTCAATCAATTTTTATTTGTATAGCATCAACTCATAACAAGTGTTATCTCGAGACACTTTACAAAAAGCAGGTCAAAGACCTAACTTATTGTTATGTTACAAAAAGCAGGTCAAAGACCTAACTTATTGTTATGTTACAAAAAGCAGGTAAAAAGACCTTACTCATTGTTATATTACAAAGATCCGGCCTATCCATCATGAGCACTTTAGCAAAGCAGCAAAAGTTACAGTGGTAAGAAAAAAACTGTCTTATTAAAAGGCAGAAATCTTCGGCTGGATCCCCGGCTCATGATGAAACAGCCTTCACAGGTCTAGACTGTGCCGGGCTTGGAAAGGGATAGGGGGAGAGATGGGATATAATGCAGGAAGAGGGATAGGGAGGGGGGGTGTTCTGGCAGGCCGTCAACCAACGATCAGATGCATTGTGTGTTTTAGCAAGCATGCTAGTTCTCAACACCTGTCCACATAAGGCTATTTGAATTCCATGTTTTTAAAGCTGAAAACTGTGGAAAACTCTAAGGGGCAATGTAGCATTTGGCGTCCTTGTATGACCCCTAAAATGTATCGGGTGACCTTTTGGACGCTTCGTACCCTCAGTTTTTGAACCACTGTTTCAGTTTTTTGCGTTGTGATTATAGAGACCAGTTCAAGAGCGAGTCCAGTGAAGAATTTCTGCATGTGCTCATCAACTGTCTGTAGCCTATTTACATTGCTGTGAATGGAAGTAGCAGCATGAAAGCAGAAGTTACAATCTATTTCTGACAGTACAACCTGTGCAGGAGTCTCTGAGTGAGTGCTGTTTTGTCTGTTCCAGTATCAGTCAGCGAATGGCGAGCCAAAGCAAGAAGAGGCAGAAGAATAACCAGCCGCAGTAAAAAAAAAAGGAAGGGTCCGCCTCCCCTGACAGACCTGCATTAAAGGCTTATAACTGGGACGTGATCCATGGTCTATTTTCTGCCCTCACCTACGAGCAAGCCCTTAAAAATGGAGATACTCTTAACACTCCCACACACTGTATGAATATATAAACACACACACACGCATATTATGAACAAATGGCTTTTTATGGGAAAGACAGTCTTCTCTCTTACCGTCTACACACAGCTACTAGAGAATTATTTTCCATTAGCTCCACCACCTCTGAACCAAAATGGCCACAAACCTAATAAAGCACTGCTACTTGTACAAAGGCCATTTTCATAATATGGATAACAGCACTTTCGCCTCCAGCTTAATAAAACAGTACAGGGGACTCTGACACGGTTATTAAGATATTTACCTCAAACCGAACGCCCTGAAAAATGCAACCAGCATCCCAACCGAGCTCACATACCAAAAAAAAACCCAGCGTAATTACAAGCCGGCTTGATTAATTATGTCTCAACAATATGCTGCACTCGGAACGCCACGAGGGCTAATTAACAGAATGAACAAGATGGGTAGGAGCAGTTATTAGGAGGTTCAGGCTCGCGCTCTCAAATCGAGAGAGAGGGTTTTGCGGGGCCGAGAAGAAGAGGGACAGCGAATTTGCTAAATCACACACAGTCACAAAGATCATAGGCAAACAGCATAGAGTGGGGGGGGGGGGGGGGCAACCAACTGGGGACACTGATACAGTGAGTGCAACGTGCTGCGTTCTGGACGCCTGACTGTACAGCTGACTGTACAGCTGACAACAGACACAGCAGAAGCGACATGTAGTGAAATCCATCTGCCTTATTAACTGGTGCTGCTCACAGTGCATCCTCACCACTAACTCGTTTTATATGCAGCTACTTCAGCCTGCAAGGCATTCCAATCGCAGCGCTCGCTTCAGATCGGCCCGTAAACAACATGACCTTGACAACGCAGGGATGATATACGATCTGACCCTGGGATAAGGAGAGAGGGGCCCATTCCAAACGCTGTTCAATTAAGAGAGAGTCCCTGATGTGTTAGATTAAAGCAGTAGGGTTTTTTTTTTTTTTGGGCAGAGTATGGCACGAAAAGAATGGCCTCTTAAAAGACGTCCCTCCCTTTGAGTAGAGCTGCAACTCACAGATTCATCTGCAGGATATTTTTTTTTACGATTAGTCATTTAGTCTAAAGAAACGTCATGAAAATGTTTCAAATACTTGTCACGATTTCCCAGAATGCAAGTGGATGTTTTCAAATTGAATCTAACAAACAGTGATAACCTTTATTATAGAGCTCTTTTCAAAATCAGAGTTACAAAGGGCTTCACAAGGACGGCAATGATAAAACACACACAACAGAAATCAGGGAGAGGTGAAATCAAAAGCAAGGGCAACATTTAAGAAATAACAAACATTTTGAAGACAAGAAAGGAGTTTTCTCCAGTTCAGTACTTTAATCTTTGACATTAAAGGGCATCAAAGATCCCAGGAGTCATTTTTTTGCTTCAAAATAATCACCCAAAACAACGGATTGATTACCAAACTATTTCTGTGACTTCAAAGCTTTTCAGTCCTCTCACCGAAGCTGAAACTTATAACTACAGTATCCGAATACTTCAACAACGATGATTAACCATGTTTACCGTTAAGTCTTTGAAAAGTCACCCAAACAATTCATCGATTTTCTAAACATCTGACATCTTCAAAGCTGTTCCTCCCTCTGATTTTATCTGCAACGATTGATTATTTTTGTTATCACAGATCAAAAAAATTGTGATATCAAAAGAGGCTTCTTCAAACAGCTTTTTGTCAAACAGACTTTTTGTTTATAAAATGTCAAAAAAGCAACAAGTCGTTGAGGAGTGACCAGTAACATCAGTAAATATTTGACTTTTATTCTCAGAAGTGATTGATTGATTTTATTTATTTGATAGCAATGATGCAACGTTGCATATAATTCCAAATACAATGCATGAAACTGTTTTTTTTTTAGCTATTGCTGATTTTCAACCCTTGGACCCAAGTGATTAATCAAAGCAAAATATCTGTTAATTGATCAAACATTAAATCTCTACCTCTAATCGTTCAATGTATAACCCATAATACACACTTACTGTGTTGTATTTATTTTCAGCCTTTTTACTCTCCAGCATGTCAAAAGATATGAATTGATGATTACGATGCTAACAGTGACCCATAGAGGGTTAACAGCCTTAAAAGGTTGCACACTGATTCTCCTCTAATAAATGTCTTTATCATGGAGCTACTCCCGTCTCTGGTGTGTAAAAAATTGCCTGTATTGGCCAGTTCTTCAACAAGCCAAGATCTGTGCTTCTCTTAATCACCAGGGATAGTATTACACAACCGTCATGAATGCAAAATCCCATCAAGACGAGGGGGCCTTTACAATAAGGCCATTTCATATGTAAAGCAAAATCCATGCATGTCTCGCAACAAGGATCCAACAATCCCCAGCGAGCCTTTTTTTCTCATCCTCACATCCCTGATAATGACATTTTACTTTGCATCACTGACGCCTCTGTGTCTTCTTTTCTTAATCCCAAAACATAACAAGACACTTGATATTAATTGCTGCAATGAACTTGGGCAGCCTTGTTTCCTTCTTTTGGGATTCATTAACACATGGGCCACTTAGCAGGATGTGGAAGCAGGTAATTCTCGCTCCTTCCTGAGCTATTAGCCGCTGGATTTTGAATGCATGAGGGACAGGAGGAAGAACAAAGTGTTGCCTTCAGTGTGGGCTTTATCAAGTGAAACAGTCCTGTGGTTTGTTTTTCTTTTTGAATGTGGAACTATGACGTAAGACGGGTATTTAAAGTAGCCTTTTTAAATAGACATTCCCCACAGCTGCCAAGACATGCTTCATTTCTTAACTTTCAGAATGAAATATATTGCGTTGTGCGGCTGCGAGGATGTGTCATTCAGTATAATAGTCTCCTGTTCTCCAATAAATGTCTCTCTCTCTTCTTTTCTGTGTACTTTAAGATTGAAGTGATTCAGCTCCCCCCCACAAACATTGTGACAGCTGAACTAGTTGGAACATTATTTAATATTCTTGGATGGTGGCACCCCGCAGCCCATCTGTCCAGTTGGAGACGAATGTGGATCATGTGCCAGAAGATTTCAACGTGTGCTGAAGATTTCCTCAACTGATAAAAAAAACTCGTAAAGCAGCCAGATAAAGAAGAATGATCTACAGTAGAATGCGGAAAGACAGTTAATGATTTAGGTTCGTGAATGCATCAGTCACTCACACAAACACACACACACACAAACCTGAACGGTGGATTCTCTGTCAAAACCAAAACACGCCACATTCAAGCCTAC